TCAAAATGGAAAAAGGGATGAAAACCAAACCACCCCTTACAAATAAAGAACTGAATAAAGGGCAAAGAAGCCTAGAAGGTCTTAGAAAAATATAAGCAAAATAACTGCGGAGGAGAAGGGGCTGAGACACAACTAAAGGCATCCTGTAGGTAAGGTAAGGGGAAGTGAAGAATGGAAAAAAGCCCAGGTAACAGACTACCTTCTTCCTGGCCCCAGGAAGACAGAGGAACAGCAGCCCCAGAGAGCAGGATTTATCTCCTGGACAACATCCCTGCCGCCTTCAGCCAGCCTAGCCCTCCCTGCCGCCTCCCCAGCAGCACCCTGTGCTCAACCTGCCGGCCGAAGAGAACAACCCTTCAGGAGGGACCATTCCCTGCTCCAGCCCTACAGAGCATCCTCAGGCAACCAGGTCTTGAAGACCCACGCGAGCACTTGCCACAGGGCTGATGCAACAGCAGCTCCAGCACAGCAACCCTCTTGGGGCCTGTGGGGTGGTGAGGGCTGCGAGAGGCAGCATGAAGAAGCCTGAAAGTCTCTTGAAATAAACGTCAGAAGCGAAAGTGCAACACAGGTACAGAGTAGAAGCACGTTCTGCTCCCAGGAGCTTTGGCCGTAACTGCTCTTTGGTTTGAAAAGGAAACACCAGCAGTTAGCAGAGAGCCCTTCGTGGTGCGATGCCCAGGGGACATCGGCTCCCTAGGCCAGCCCCTGCCTCCCCACCCAGCACCACGCTCCTGACTCACGTGCCTCCTGCTTTGTCCATCACCTCTCACCTGACAGTACAAAATGTGACCCAAAGGCACAGCAACGGAGATTGACCTGCTCCCCCAGCCCGCCTGTATGCAACCCAGCTGCTTCCAACTAGACAATCTCCCTATAAAAATATACTTGAGGTTCTTGGCAGCCACTCAGCCTCCCGCTCCGCACAGGTCCTCCACCTGCCAGCACCGAGGTCTGGCAGCAGAAGCCACCATGGGCTTCTACTGGATTTGGGCTGTTGCAGGGCAGCAAACAAGATGAAGAGACCGAGTCACCACAGGCCCACGGCCAGTCCTACTTAATGATGTTTTAAATACCGCACCAAGATGTTTTCGAACCTGGAGGCACCTACTCACAGGCACTGGCAGATGACCCGGACCTGGGCTTGTCCGCACCAAGCTGTCCCCAGCATCCCCGCTCCCCCGGGCACGGGGCCCCAAGCACACAGTCCTAACGATGCTCTCTTTGCCCAGGGCGCTGCTTGGCTGTTGCCATGTCCTAAGCAGAGCCAGAGCTCCTCGCTGGGACACCAAGGGCTTTCCCACCTGCTGAGCATGATGGAAACGCTCCCCAACAGTCCCTGTGCCCAGCTGACACCAAGGGGACAGGATCTGGCAGCTCCGTGGCCAGCGCATGGTGCGGAGCTATGTCTGGGGCCCACCGCCATCCTCCTCTACCCCAAGCACCTGAGGCTCTCCAGCCACCCAGGCAGCGACTCGGGTCTCTGGCGAGGGAAGAGAGCAAGGCACAGCCATCCAGGGGCCACGCTAACAATTTCTCCAAACCCCTCCTCTAGCCAGCAGCTGCCCCGGAAATACAGCCACAAAAGCCTCTGGAGGCTCCAGCAGCCTTTATTTCACACCCTTCTCTTACTAAAGATGAGCCTCTCTGCAAGCTCCTGGCTCTGGGCACTGATCCTGGCTGCTGGTGCTGTGCTGACACGGTCATGGCGATCGCTGAACCTCTGGCTCTGCGGGACCTGTGGCTGCTGTGCTGGGCTGCTTCAGGGAAGGGCAGAGCTAACCACAGCCCGAGGCAGGAACAGAGCGAGGGTTCGGGTGGGTGCCGCGCTCCCCGGCTGGTCCTGGTCCCATGCTCGCAGCCTCCATCACCACCAAGCCCTTCTGTAAAGACAGGATTAGCCTTCCTTGGTTTGGACTCATTTTTACTCCTACAGGAAAGCATACACTGAAATTACTACATATTAAACAGCAAAAACCAGCTACCTAGAACCAAAGAGCTCTTTAAAAATCCAAGTGATCATATCTCTTTTTTTTTTTTTTAGAGATCCAGTATGACATCAAGTTCAACTATACAGTATTTTTTAATGAATATTAACAAACTGCTTTAAAAAAAAGGCAAAAAGAAAAAAAAAAAGGCAAAAAGAAACACAGACAGAAAACTCGGTTGGAAGTTCTACATCTTTGAGGCAGCATGAAGTAAGATAACCATCGGTCCCTCTTCCTCAGGCAGCAGAGAGTGAGGTTTGCTTTAGCGTCCTTAAAGCTGCACATGAAGAAGACTCAGCCCCAGGGTCAGACCTGTCACTGAACCACCCCAGCCCCTGAAAACGCACCCAGTTCCCCCTCACCGTGCTGGAAATGGAAACGAAAGCCTTCCTCCACCTTTTAGGTGAGCATCTCCTACCACCAAAGCAGGCACAGCCCAACTCTCTGCAAGGTCAATCTGTCTCTACTTGCCATGGACACCATTTATTAAACTTGTCCTAATTACTCGTGCAGCACACCGGCAACTTACTGGCTGCTGGTCACTAGTTAAAGCCTGTCACGACACTCCTACCTCATACCAGGGCCAGCCAAGATCACAGAAGAGCTGAGGCTGGCAGGGATCTCTGGAGATCCTTTAATCCAACCCCCTGCTCACACAGGGTCAGCTACAGCAGGTTGTCCAGGACCACATCCCGTCAGGGCTTTAATATCTCCACAGATGGATATTTAACATCTTAATGTCTCCAAAGACAGAGAGGGGCAGGCTGGCGAGCAACCTAGTAAGCACGCCTTCAACCTCCAAGGCATCTACCTGGCATGTAACAAGTCTCTTGGTCATGAGAAGCCAGCAAATTCCTGCAGAGGAAAACACCTGAGGCTGCATCGACCTTGCTAGGGGAAATTTATTTTTAAGTGATGTTTACAAGAACTGTGCAAAACCTGAAAAATACAGAAGAGGTAAAGAAAGAGTAAAGGGGTAAAACAGGACTCCCGCAAGAAGGGAAAAAAATACACTCTTCCTTTACCCACTGCTAACCTTCCCCTTCCCATGGAGCCAAGCCTGCAGGCCAGGAAGGATTCTCCTGGCTCGCACTGGTTCCCCCCAGCAAATCAGACTCCAAGCCACTGGCACACGGCGTGGGTTACCGTTGGTGATGGTAACACCTCCGAAGTTGTAGGTTATTAGTAGTGTTGGTCTCACCCTTTAGTGTTCGAACTGCTGGGACAGCCCTTTGCCTGACCCCCCCAGAGGTACGCTAACGGCCCGAGGGCTGCAAAGAGGGAAGGGGCCTGGGGGCTGGAGGTAAATCTTGACAGGAGAGCGAGGTCCCTCAGGAAGCAGCTCTTAAACACCAGGCTCTGGGCATGGAGGCTCTCCTCACCATGCTCTCCGGTAGCGGCACGGCACTTGCTACTCTTCCCCATGCTGCTGGCAGGGTCAGGGGGCGGGCAGGCTCAGAACTCTTGCAGAGTGTGACAGCCAGCAATTGCAAAAGGAGCAATGCCAAAGTGCTTTTTGGAGCTGTGCAGCCCCATGGCTTTTCCCTTTCTACACTTTAAAAAGAGGGAGAGCAGGGGAGGTCAGGGCAGTGAATCAACGCTAACGATCTGAAATGGCTCATCTCAACTGAGCTTGGACCAAGAAAGTTGTGAGATCCCAGCAGTGGAAACCTGCTACTTCCTCGCTGAGCAGTGCACCCCGGGAAAAGAGAGGGCTGGCTCTGCCTTGCTCCCAAGCCCTCTCCAGGAGGAGAGTTCCCCAGCCCGCCTCGTCAACCCCGCCAGGCAGGGCAGGGGAAAAAGGCCGCACACGAAGGGTTGGTGCCCGCAGCGGGCAGCGGAGCTCCCAGCACTGGAACTGCAGGTACAGCATGAACTACAGTCCAGAGAATGCCAGGCAACTACAGGCATCGTTTCCTCTCCCCACCTCCCTCCTTTCCTCTCCACCCCTTTGGGCTTTTCACGTCGTCCGTCGCCCCTGCGATACAGGTGGTGTATCAACCACAGAGGCCAGAGGAAAGTTTACCTGCCTGCCCGCCGTACCTCCTCTTTCCCCCAAATTCCCTGGAGGCCGTCTACAACCGAGGAGAGGGAAGGGGAGGCCGAGGCTTAGGAGCGTCACATGCAAGCTGAAAGCCGCCGAGGGGCGGGAGGCTCACGGCAAGCAGGCAGCCACCTGGTAGGCGCCTTCGGCCGTGTGCTGGACGCTGTGCTCCTGCAGCAGGCCTAAGTCCAGGAATCGTTCCCCGCACCACATGCACTTGTACTGCTGCTCCCGGGCGTGCACGCTGTGGTGCTTGTTGAGGTGCTCGCGCTGCTTGAAGGCCTTCTCGCAGGAGGGGCACTTGTAGGGCTTCTCGCCCGTGTGCACGCGCCGGTGGCGCTGCAGGTCCGAGGCGTACTTGAACCGCTTTTCACAGTCGGGGCACTTGAGGGGCTTCTCGCGGGCCGGGTCGCAGCGGTGCTGCACGAACTCGGAGGAAGAGAAGAAACGTCTCTCGCAGAGCGTGCACTTGAGCGGCTTCTCGGCGCAGTGGGCCAGCTGGTGCTTCTGCAGAGCCGAGGCCCGCTTGTAGGACTTGTTACACACCGTGCACTTGAAGGGCCGCTCCGCGTTCTGCACGCACTTGTGCCGCAGCAGCTCTGAGGACTGGTTGAAGCCCTTCTGGCACACGTTGCACTTGAAGAGGTTTTCTATGCCGTGCACGTGCTGGTGGTACACCAAGTGCGAGGGCTGCACGAAGCCCTTCTCGCAGAGGTTGCACTTGAAGGGCTCCTCGGCCTTGTGCGTGCGGCGATGGCGCATGAGCGCGTACTGCTGCTTGAAGCTCATCTGGCAGAGGTCACACTTGAAGGGTCGCTCCTCGCTGTGCGTGCGCTCATGCTGCCGCAGGTCCGAGGGTCGCTTGAAGGCCTTCTGGCACTCGCCGCAGCGGAAAGGCCGTTCCCCGCTGGGCGTGCAGGGGTGCTGCAGCAGCTCCGACGACTCCTTGAAGTGCAGTTCACAGACATTGCACTTGAAGAGGTGCTCCCCTGAGTGCGCATACATGTGGCGCACCAGGTGGGAGCGGTGCTTGAAGGTCTTCTCGCACACCGTGCACTTGTAGGGCCGCTCCGAGCTGTGTGTCCGTTTGTGGTGCACGAGGTGGGACGACTGGCTGAAGCTCTTGTCGCACAGCGTGCACTTGTACGGCTTCTCACCCGTGTGGATGCGCTCGTGCCGGGACAGCTCTGAGAGGTGCTTGAAGGTTTTCTGACAGATGGAGCAGCTGTAGGGCTTCTCTGAGGGGTCGAGAGGTTGCGAGTGCTCTGCCTCAGGAGGCTTGTAGGTCTTCTCACAGATTGAGCACTTCATGGCGTTGCCATTGTGCACATTGTGGTGCTGCGCCAGCGAGGTCAGGAGGGAGAAGCCCATCTTGCAGACGCCGCAGACAAAGGGCTTCTGCTCCACCTGGATGCACTGGTGTTCGAGGAGGTCGGTGGCCTGATGGAAGATCTTCAGGCACTGGGTACACTGGAAAGAGCGGTCGTGGCCTGGCAAGCACTGGTGCTCATGGGGGTTGGAGAGGTGAGCGAGGTCGTGGCCGCACACACCGCATTTGTGGGACGGCTCTCCAGCCTGGATGGACGCGTGCTGGTGGTGCTGCAGACCGGGGTCCGGTTGGAGCAGGATGCCGTAGACGGCACAGCCCAAAGGGTTGTCAGCAGTGCTGGGCGGGATGGAGTGCTCTGGGAGGGCGGCTGCCCCAGCGTGGTGCTGCTGCGGTGGCGGTGGCTGCTGTGTTTGCTGCTGTTGCTGCCAGCTTTCTGACATGCTTGGGAAAAAAAAACGGGATTTTAGCAGTGACAGCTTCAGCTTCTCGGTTGAAAGGGTTCAAGTAAAAACAAAAATCAAAAGTATCCAAGATCCTGATTCCCCGTAGCTGATCCCCTGAAGTCGAGGACAGAAAATCCAGCCCACAGCCAGGACCTTCGGAAGCAAAGAAGTGACTGAGACTCCAGAGTCGCCTCCTTAGATCAGCACAAGTTCTTTGTGGACTGATTTGGTTTGGCTTTTTCTTTTTTGGACAAAAGGAGGCAGAAGCAAGTGCCTTGAAGATAAGAGCAGGCCCTTCTCTGTGCTGGCTGCGATGTGCTCACATCACATTTGGGAAGGGCGAGGGAAGCAGCCCAGGGAGCAGCGCTCTCTGCAAAGAAGACGACAGCTCATGTCAGGTCTCAGAGGCACCTCTCTAGTCAACCTTCCCAGACAGCTCACTTTGAAAACTCTCCTGCACCCCCGCAAAGCTACCAGGAAGCCAGTGTGGAGGAGATAACCAGAACCGGAGCCCACCCTTGCTGCTGTGCAAAGGGACAAGCCGTGCTCAGCCTTGAAAGGGTCAGGCTCTGCCCAGCCACAGCCAGGCACATGTTTGAGCGGCATGCTCTCGCAAGAGGTAGCACAACTGCCCAGCTCCGACTCAGCTCAGCCGTTACCCCGTACGCTGTTGGTCGCTGGATCTCCCAGCCCTGCTTGGGGCACTGGCTGAGAACGTCGGTCTCTCCGCACAGGCTGAGGTATGCCAAATGCTGTGCAATCAAGAAGCTAAGAAGCCACGGAGTTAGATTTTACAGATATCAAGGCAAATCCCAGCCTGATGCCACCCCAGCTGAAACATCCCTTTGAGGCAGTTCTGCTCCTCCTGCAGTTTGGGTATCAGGCACATTACCCAAGGGATGTATGCAAGCGATTTCCCCCTCTCTGGGCAGTGCTTTACACCAGGAAGAGCCAGAGAGCTCAGGGGATGGTTTGCCCTCAACATTATCCTATCCACAGACAAAACACTGAACCCACAGGTATCATGTGCAGCACTCTCTGTGAGGATAAAAAAAAGCGTTAAACTGATGGCTCGGCTGAACCTCCTACCAAACCGTGGAATAAAAGTACACTGGAGCAGAACCACCTACACCAGAGGTGCTGTCCGGCCTTGCTACAGAGTATCACAGGGGTTTTGCTCACTGAAAAGTTCCAGCCTGATACCAATTTAGAGATGAGTAAAACCCACCAGTCAGCAGCAGAGAGCAGCAATGCCAACACACCTCAAGAGAGAGGAAAGGTCCAGGCCTTGGCATGAAGTGACAGCTAGCACTCCTGCGCCACGAGCCCCTAACCCTGCAAGAGTACACCTGCTCTCCAACAAACCGCCTGCTCTCACCCAGGGCAAGTAAAACCTTGGTCTTCCAGGAACGTGTTTGTTGTATTTAAAACTACATGATCAGAGAAACCCACTTCCCAGTGTCCCCACTTCTGCCAGTGCTCAGCTGAGACCAGGTCATGCCCCACAGCTAGGGAGCACTGGACCTACTTCTGCCTACAAGGACACCGCGTCACTTTGTCTGCCGGCACAGCTTTGGGCAGTAAAATGCCCAAAGGCCCCATCGTAGCCCTGCTGGTATGCAGGATCTCCTCCTTCTCCTACGTCGCTCCCCTCAACTGTCGACACGAAGGGAGGGCTCGCAGTTACGATGCCTAGCACCCAAGCTCGACGGGATACAAAACTTCAGCACAGCCCGGCCGCCGCCTTCCCCCACAGGCATCGTTAACCGTGGCAGGAGGAACCCACCAGCGACAGCATCCCAGGCCATCCAGCCTAATGGGGAAGGGGAAGCTTTGTGTCCCCCGAGCAGGGAACCACAAGAAATACCAACCTTGGCTTACCGAGTGCTCTGCACGGGTACCCAAGCCGGCGCCAGCTCCGAGCCTAACTCATCCCTCCGTGGGAGGTGGGAAGCGACAACCATTTAAGGAGAGAAGACGGGAAAGCAGAGGTACTTTCAAACTGGAGAAGCAGCCCACGGCACGGCCTGCTCCGGCATGGTCC